CACCACTACAAGATGGTTGGGGGAAAACGGAAGGATGCTTTCAGGCTGCCTTGTGAAGCTCTTGATGCTTCTAGGGGGGGGGCTCCAGTGCACGTCGGGGGGTCCTCCTCCTCCTCCTCCTCCTCCTCCTCCTCCTCCGCCTCCTCCTCCTCCAGCAGCCTCCCGAGCACCCTGGAGCTGTCGTCCGCGCGGGCCAGCACGATCTCGACCAATGTGCACCGCGCATCCTCGGCTCGAGGGGGAGAGGATGTGGACGAGTGAGAGGAGAAGGGGAACAGGGAGAGGAGAGGGAGGAATGACATAGGGTAAGAGGGAGAAGACGGGGAAGGCGATGGGGGAGGGGGGGGAATAGGGGGTGGACACGGATATGGAGGTGGGCCACCTCAAAAGAGGCAGGTCAAAGAAAAATGCTAAACACGCAAACGCATGGAGAGCATAAACCAATAGGTAGCGCGAAAAGTACGCATAGGTAGACAGTACCGAAGTGTGGATACTCGTCCTCCGTATCCTCCCCTCCTCCCAATCGCGCGTCCTCCTCCCTCTTCGCCCCCTCCTCATCGTCATCCTCAGCCTCCTAGTTCAGCCTCATCCGCCTCCAACACCTCATCCCGCCCCTCTCCTCCTACTGTTCAGTTCATCATACTCAGAATCAGCACCAGCATCAGCATCAGCATCATCATCATCATCATCACCATCATCATCATGCTCAACATCAGCATCAGCATCATCATCGTCGTCATCATCATCAACAACATCCTCATCGTCAGCAGCATCATCGGCATACGCAGCAGCATCATCACCACCAACACCAGTTTCCTCGTCATCAGCAACATCATCATCACCAGCATCATCATCATCATCACCATCATCAGCATCAACAACATCGTCATCACCATCATCATCAGCACCACCAGCATCAGCATCATCAGCATCATCATCGTCAGCATCATCAGCATCATCATCAGCATCATCATCAGCATCATCGTCACCATCAACATAATCATCATCACCATCACCATCAACAGCATGATCATCATCAGCATCATCAGTATCATCAGCATCATCGGCAGCATCATCATCAGCATCAGCATCAGCATCATCATCATCAGCATCATCAGCATCATCATCATCCTTCCCCTCGCCCTCCTCGCCACCCCCCATAAATCTTCACATGCCCCCCTCCCCCCTCCCCCTCCTCCCCCCCCCCTCCCCCTCCCCCTCCTCCCCGACAGGGGATGCTCCAGGCAGGTCAGGCCTTGTCCAGTCCGAACTTTTTCATGACATCCTCCGCCTCGGCCAGGTCTGGGAGGCTCTCCACCTCCTCGCTGAGCAGGCTCCTCGCGAGGGGAAGACGGGAGTGGGGGAGCCCAGCGTGGGGCAGGGAGAGGAGGAAAAGGAGGAAAAAGAGAAAGGAATCGGAGGAAAAGGAGGCGTAGGAGGAGAAAGAGGAGGAGGAGGAGGAGGAGGAGGAGGAGGAGGAGGAGGAGGAGGAGGAGCCCACGCCTCAAGGAGGGATCCCCGTCCAGCCACATCGCTGCATTACGCAGCACGGGGCACGTCGCCCGCGGCCCACGCGGGGCCATTCCTCATATCCTCCTCCGCAGAGACGATCTGGTTGTTGAAGTCGTCGATGTGAAAGCTAGCGTCAATGAGATCCGAGCCAGCGACGGCACCGCCGCCATGAAGGCGCGGCCCCTCGACAGGAACGGGGCCATCAGGAAGAAGGGCACCGACTTCACTCACGGAGGGAGCTACTCCAGCGCCTGCATTAACCATAGCGGAAATCTCCGCATGTCGAACTTATGGGTCATCTTGATGATCATGAGATACAGCAGATGCGAAAGCCTCCGGCTGGGCCGTCGCGAAGACGTTGTCCTCCTCTCCTTCCACTTCCAAGAAAAGCGCCAAGATGTCCTCCGCGACCTCCATAGCCGCCTCTGTGCCATCGTCTGCCGATGATGCAGCCGCCGAAGACACGATGGTGGCAGCGGCCTCAACATCGAGAAGACCGTCATCGCCATGAACTGCACGTCCTGTGACTTGGACATCTGCTTCGCCAACACCACCAGGTAGTTCGTGTCCAGGATGTGGTTCTTCGTGTAGCTGGGCCGATCCCGTCGGTATGTATGGCAAGGGCCCCCGAGCACGATTGGTGAATATGTTGACGCGCGGGCGGGTGGCGTTCGCAACATGTGTCCCCACCTGAGAAAGATGAGCAGGGTTCGTCCCAGTTGGGTTGCGACCCTCGCAGTCCGATCCCGTCATCTCGTGACCATGACCACGGCCTTCATCACCTTCCAGCACACTTCCAGGGTTCTGGAGCATCCAGGTAACAAGGCTCCGCTGCTCGTCCGAGAGGTCGAAGATCTCGTTCAGGTAGAGCAACGCTAGCGCCAGCTGACGGTCTGCGAGCGGATCTGTAGCTTCCGCACCAGACCGAGCAACGTGCAATGCATCACGCACCGCAGCACTCCAATGCTGAAGACCCACCAGGGTATCTGCGGTTGCTGTGGCGGAACCAACCCCAGTAGCAGGTGCCAGTGCCCCCGACGCGAGAGCACCCGAATCACGGCCTGTCAACGTTCGATCCGCAAGTCTGTGCGCCGCCGCCGACTCGAAGATGCTGACATCGGAGCAGCTGGATGAAGTTGTCTCATGGTGACCAGCACTGGGGAGCGGAGCAACGGGTGGCACCCAGGAAGAGGAAGCAGATGGGTCTGACGCCCCACTTGTATTCGCCCTCGAGCGTCTCTCGGCAGCCAGTACTTGAGCTTCGTGCATCTCGTCTGTCAATGTCAATCCAAAAAGACGAGCATCTTCATCAGCCGTCATCGCGGTGTCGTGCTGGGGGTAGCCAACGGTGTCGACACTGCGATTGTCCTCATCGGGCAGGTACGGGTCATCACTGATGTCACAGTCACCCTCGACATGCGCAAGGTGCGGCAAGAGGTACGAAGGCGGGTTGAGCGACAACGGCGGCCCAGATGGAAAGACGTGGCGCAAACGAAGGAGGTCAGCCCTTTTCCGCATCACTCATACGCGACATGTCAGCAGCACAGTCCCTTTGCCGAAGATGCGCAAGGGCACGTTGTCGTAAGGTGCGTACGCGCCAATAGTCATTGACGGGCCACGGTTGACTAAGATGAAGGCAGGCCTGTTCCCTGGGGATAGCCGACGAGTGCAATCCACTCATGCAGAGCTCGATCGCCAGATACCATCGCTCCGGCGCGCATGTCGCTGCGTCCCCAGCACCACGCGATGGAGAGCTGAACAGAGACCGAAAGTCATTATAGCGTAATACATCTGCAACGTAAGGTACGCACCACTCCATCCATTGCTGGAAATCAGATCCAGAGAAAGACACATATAGCGAGGGCACCCATTGCTCTGACCAGCGCGAAAAAGCATCCAGCAGCATCAGTCGCCTCCGATGTCCTTGATCGCCTTGCTCCCCCAGAGGAACATGCCGCGGCTGCGGGTCCTGAGCAAACAGCGAGTCCTGCACGTGGTGGTCACCATAGAGCGGTGGGAGCCACGAAGCAATCAAGCGTGGAGAGCTGAGCGTCACCGATTCCACAGCCGCTGTTTCTGCCGATCCAGGGTGCACAGCAAAGTAATCCTGATGACGAGGCCAGCCACGTACGTGCATGCGTTCGTCCGCACATTGTCTCAATGCAAACAGCCGCGATGCATCTGCCCCGCCCCATGTAGACGCTAGGTGATGGGGGAGTCGAGCCCTCCCCAATGCCGAGCTGTGCCACGCGGCATGACACATGCTGGAGCCAAGAGTGCGTCTTTCCAGCAACGTCCCCACCGGGGTAGCAAACAACCCACAGAAGGCCCAGTATTGAAACACGCGACTGATAAACTCTGTGCCCCAGTTCATCCAGTCGTCGAAATCGCTGCTGGCGCTGGGCTCCAAGAAGAGTGAGGGAACCCAGTTCCGCGCCCAAGACTCCAGCAGCACTGCGAAGCGTGCCAACCTCCGAAGCATGATGGGGCCAGCCCCAGCTGGCGGTATGGCAGCGAACCTGGCCTCGCAAATGGAATCCGGAAAATGTACGCGACGCGGAAGAGTGTCGTGTAGGAAGCGGCGTCCGATTGGCAACATACCGAGAAGATCATCCCACCATTCATGCACGACCGATGGTGATTCGAGCATACAGACAGGCAGAGGGTCAGGTGGTACAGGAGGGCGGCGCGCGACCCTGACCCGCCCTGCCGCAGGCGAGGCAAGCGCGCGGGTCCGCACCGCGCCTCTCCATGTTGTGAGCAACTGATCAGGATGCACACGGTAGAGGTGCCGAAGGTTATGATAAGCAGTAGTAGCCAGATGCGTGTTCATCAGGTCCTCATCGTAGCAACCGCGAAGACCCCATCGATCAAGAACGTGTGCAGGCAAGTATCGCCGGCCTCCCGATTTGACCATTGCAAGACCCCATGCCAGCCCACGACATTCCCAGTAGTGTCCCATATCGTCACGCTCGCCAAAACACCCGAACAGGCACGGTTTGACCCCATCTGCAGACGTAATGCGAGACGAGGTTAACCAACCGCCACAAATCGCACGGATGATGCTGGTGGCCCAAGCGACTGGGTATGTCGTCAACTTCTTGCGAAGGGTTTCCCAATCCAGGGCTTGAATCTCGCTGCCGAGCCGCGGGAACCATTTAGTCCATCGCTTGATAAAGGTGGTGGCCAAGGGTGCTGTGCATGAGGACTGCAAGGGGAGGTGTGCACTAATGTACTCAGCTGTAAAGACCCGATACGCAATCCGCTGAAGATGCTTTTTGACTGAGCTATCGTTCGCCAAGGCGAGACGAGCAGCCGCAGCACCTGTTGATGCCGAGAACTTGCAGGCTCTCTCCAGAAACTCGGCGAAGGACAGTAATTGCCAAAAGGAGGGCGAGAGACCACCACACAGATCTGCCACGACGCGCTCATTGATCCACCTCGATGAGGCTCTTTTCAAGAGGGCTAGATACGTAGCATGTTCAGGGTGTGTGACAATCCCAGACCGAATCAGCGCAGACTTCGCTGACATGGGCAGACTGCGGAGACGTGGTCCTCCCCGAGCTCCGGGCGCCACCAGGGAACCTCATCAGCTTCACGAGCACATGGATGTCCTGACTCTTCAACATCCTGGGGGGCGGCAGGAATTGTGCCACAGAACCCACGATTGGCAGGCATCTCGTCGTGTAGTTGATGCCATTCAGGCTTGCTGGGGCCGCAGAGGCGGCAAGGGAGCTGACACGGGCGCGGTATTTATCCCGTGGCGCCGACCATGATTGAAGGAGCGTAGCCGCTGGACCCATCCACATCCCCAAATTCAGGAGAGTAGCCTCGACTTTGAAGGAAGACCAGTGCGCCAGCTGATGGCGCAGGAAGTCGCGCACACAATGCCGCAGCTCGGAAGAGAATGTGCCAGCCAGTGGAACGATCACGCACGTGGCGGGCTTGAGCTTTAGGCTGGCCAGCTTGGCTGCCACCGCCATCGCACGCGATAAGAACTTCAGATCGATCATCTCAAACAGTACTCCCCCGATATCATCAGCACAAGCCCGAAAGACACCGCGCTGGCGGAGTTCGATCCCCTGCCAGATGTCCTCCAAGATCGGAGAGGTAGCTGCCGCGAACAAGCTCCCAGCTAATGCACAGCCTTGAATGATCCCACACCAGATGCGGAAGAGAACCTTAGTGACCCCTGAAGCCCTGCCCAAAGCAGTGACAACCGCATGGAGAGAGCGCATCGCCTGTAATTGAGCTGACGGCAGGTGAAGGTGCTCAAGAAGGATGAAAAGGTAATTCTGGCTGAGGCTGGGAAACGCTTGTCCAAAGTCGAGAGCGACTAGCAGCGGCATCCGTTCCAGCGGGTTGGGCATCATCGACGCGGCTCTGGCAGCCACGTCGAGCTCCAGAATGTTTGAGGTAAATTGGCGGCCCGAGATAAAGCCTCGCTGTGCTGACGATGTGGAGTTCTTCACGATCGGGGAAAAGGCGGCGTTGAAGGTGGCCGAGATAATCTTCATGTCCGTGTTGCGCAGCCCGAGCGTGCGCACCGAGTCAGGGGATCTGTTGACCCCTCTGCTGTCATCATCACCAGCTTGACATCCTTCAGGGAGGACTGCTTGAAGAGTGTCGCCGCACTGAGCGAATAACCGTTGCCCATCCATCCTCCATACACAGGATTGCCAGAGGACCTTCGCGCCCGTCTCATGTGCTGCCCAGGCGGCGCATGGCAGCCCATCAACGCCAGGGGAGGAGCGCGACGGCGCAAGCTTGACAAGCACTCGCTGTAGCATCTCAAGAGACGGTGGGGAAAGCCCATCGAACGAGCAAGGTTGCACGAACCGTTCAGCATAGCGTCTAGTATGGGCAGGATAATCATGGGGAGCAGCAGAAACTGGTGCCAAATATCGCGTGAGTGCGTCCAGCTTCTCGAATGGGTCGGCATAGGCGGCGCCGTCGGCCTCGATGGAGCGCAATGCTAGCTTTTTTCGAGAAAGGAACCCAGAGCCGGGCCTTCCGCTGCACCGCAGCGATCATACCAGCCGAGGGGCGTCGTCGACCTTCCCCGTGTACTGCATCATGTTGTAATCGCTCGAACTCGAGCTCTGCAGCACGACGTTGAGTGGCGTCCACCCACGCCTGAAAGGTAGGGTAGTCCGCAATGATGACCTGGGTATTCTGTACCTGCAGACACGCCCGAGCAATTTCAGAAGCATGGCATAACTTCTGCGCAAGCGAAGTGTTTTGCCGCCAGACGCATCGAGCAGCTTGTCGAACATATATCAACTGGGCTTCAAGGGAGTCGCTCTCGTTGACCAAGATATTCTGCATTGTATCGAAAGCTGCAGCTTGAAGCAAGTCTTTATACCTCAGTAATTGCCACGGTGGGGACATGCCCAAGGAGAACTGTCCATCATTATCGAGAAGCACGCCTAGTCGCCGCCGAAACTCTGGCCGTTTGTAGATATGAGCAGGGACTGGTTTGCGATAGCAACCATCAAGATCACGATGTCGAATGTGCACCCAAATAGCCACGTGATCCGATAGCTCTTTGTCGTGCATCTCTTCGGGCGTGGATACTACCGACACGGAGTGCTGGAGTTGGCATGACATCCAATTAGGTTCGGATAGCCAGAGCCAGTCGATCTGTGACACAGCCTTCGTGTCATGGCAGTAGTGTGTCGGGTCCTCCGACGCTATCTCCAACATCTGATCAAAAACCGAAGACCAAAGTCTCACATGCGAGCGAGCGTCATTCGTGACTTTGCGCAACTTTGCTGCTGTCGGTTGCGCCAAGTGGAGCGCGTCGCGCGCTGCTAAGTTGAGGTCGCCACATGCAACAACTAGCCTTGAGCTGCGATCGAGAGATGCCCAGTGCATGTCCGCCTTAATAGCTCTAATCACCTTCTGCGCGTCAACCACCGAGAGACCATGATTGTGAATATTGGACGAATCTCTGCGCGCCCACCCACCAAACTAAATCGCATAACTCTGCCTCTGACGAATGGAGTAGACGATGAAGCCCACGATGACGTCTTCGAGAGTGGCACAATCGTAGCAACTCCGCCACGACCACGGCCAGAAACATCATCCCCATCTTTGGCATATTCGAAGGAGCCAAAGACTGTAGCATCGGGCGCGATTCTGCGCATGTAGAGTTCCAGCCCCCCCCCCCCCCCCCCCCCCTCCCCCCCCCCGGGTCTGGTGAGCCTCTTGTATGGCAACGATGGAGGAGGAGATGCCAATCAGGTCCAGGTAGGAGGCCTTACTCATCGCTCTAGCACCACGGAACTGCAGCACCGCCCGAGCGTTCCACGACACAAACGTACGCTCCTGACAGCGCGGCGCCAGGCCGCCCCGCACCTTGTGATAGAAGATGTCGTCGCACTTGCTAAAGAGACCACTCTGGCTCCGCGTTGGGCTTGAGGATGTGACCAATCGAGTTGTTGATACTAGCACGCGTCCACCCCCGTGAGGTGAGCGCGGCATCATGAAAGTAGCAGAGCGTGGGATCGCGGCCAGGCTGAGGTTCAAGTCGCAGCACGGGGTTACAGTTCTCAGATAGCCATCCATTCTGTCGATCAAAAAAAGAATTTGCACTGCGGGTGCATCCCCCGAAGCACGCTCGTAACCTTCTTGCCAGCAATTTCAAGCTTGATCTGGTACGGCGACTTATCAGGCCCAATGTGTAGTTGCGTTGAGCCACCTGAGGCAGCTGGCACAGGGAATCGCACCCATTGGCCCTTGCCGAGGCGGAGCGCAGCCAAGGCCTGTGAGACGCGCTTGCAGGCGAGGCCGACGGCACCTGTGAACTGAATGACAAAAACTCGGTCCTGTTCATCACCTTCAATATTAAAGCCTTCGGTCTTCGCGTCTTGGAGCCATGTCTCCACTGAGGATACCACATCCTTCTTACATACCAACGTGGGCGCAACGACCTTGAGGATAGTGCCGTCAACGTTGCGCTGGAAGCCAATGCTGGCGGGCTTGGGGGGCTGCGGTACTTTGTTGGCCATGACGAGCTCCTTACGCATTTCCTCCAGCGAGCACTGCATGTCGGCAAACTGCCTGGCGAGGGTCTCGGTGCGGGCGTCCACATCGGCGATCTTGGAGGCCACGGTGTCCAGTTGACGCTGGATGCGCTGCTCGAGATCATTGAGTTCCGAACGCAGTTAAGTCTCCATCTCGTTCTTGCAATTCCCAGGAACAGCCTTGATCGCATTCTCGAGTTTGTGGACGGCAGCCATAACTGGGTCCACAGCCTTGCCTGCAGCGTCGGCCGCTGAGGCGGCCGCAATAGATGCCAGGTCATCCTTGAAGGACTTGAACTCCTGCGGGAGGCGCTTGCCGAGCTGCTCAGCGATGAGACAGTTGATATGGGCGCTCCAGTCATCGTCGGCCATGTCGTATGCATCATCTTTGGCGTCGGAGACATGACGGCTCGACCTCGAACGATCATCATCAGCCCGACTACCAGCAGGGACAGAATCATCAGCAGCACCCCGCACAGCTGCGGGACGCCCCGCTGCAAGTGCCTTCTTCTTGCGCTTGGGAGCCGCACCATTCGGGGGCATGCGCGGGCCGTACGCGCCGAAACTTGACGCGATCTGGCCGACAGGAACGGGAAAAGCCTCCGTTTACCCGCCGACCCAAGCGCAGGGACGGTGGACAGGAGAAGATGCCAAACCTCAAGAGGTCTTGCCAGCCGCGGACTAGCGGTATCCGCTTGGTTTCCAGGGGAAACCTGCATCTTAAGCCAAAATGGCTACGGAAGGAGGAGGAGGAGGAGGAGGAGGAGGAGGACAGGGGGACGAGGAGGAAGAAGAGGAGGACAGGGGGACGAGGAGGAGGAGGAGGAGGAGGAGGAGGAGGATACGGACGACGGGGACAAAGGAAGAGGAAAGTGCAGGTTTCTTCCTCCTCCTCCTCATCCTTCTCCTTTTTCTCCTCCTCCTCCTTTTCCTGTTCCTGTTCCTCCTCCTCCTCCTCGTCCTCATCATCCTCCTCCTCGTCTCCTCCTCCGTCTCCTCCTCCTCCTCCTCGTCCTCCTCCTCCTCCTCCTCCTCCTCCTCCTCTCCTCTTCCTCCTTCTCCTCCTCCTCCTCCTCCCTCCATCCTCCTCCTCCTTTTCCTCCCTCTCCTCCCCCTCATCCTCCTCCTCCTCCTCCTTCTCCTCCTGCTCCCCCTCCTCCTCCTCCTCCTCCTCCTCCTCCTCCTTGCCCTCCTTCTCCTCCTCCCCCTCCCCGCCGTCCTCCTCCTCCTCCTCCTCCTCCTCCTCCTCCTCCTCCTCCTCCTCCTCTTCGAGGGTCCCCTCTCTTCCCCCTCCCCCGTTCCCTACCCTCCTGTGCACCTCCCTCAGAGGGACCTTCCCAGGAGGCGGGTTCCTCGCGAGGACGTCTGCAGTCTCGTTCGGCGCCCGCGCGTACTCCAGGATCGCCTCCAACCTCACGAGGTCCTCGCCCTTGCGGCCGGCCCGGCGGGCGACGACGTGGTCGAGCTTGGCCACGACGTCGCCGCTCAGGTCGAAGTTCAGCGCAAGCGCGCGCACCTCCCTGTCCTCCTTTCGGGCGACTTTTTGTTGAGGGAGGAGATGGGAGAGGACGCCGAGATGAAGCCTCCAGCTGTACGCCACGTCCGTCCTGCGAACGTGTCTGAAAATCAGGCCCCGAATTCGGACACTGTAGGGAAAGACAAGAAGGAGGATGAGGAGAAGGAGGAAGAGGAAGAGGAGGAGGACGAGGAGGAGGAGGAGGAGAAGGGCGGAGGAGGAGGAAGAGGAGGAGGAGGAGGAGCAGGAGGAGGAGGAGGAGGTGGTGAAGGGGGAGGAACAGCACGAGGAGGAAGCCTGCTACCGCCGCTGCGAAGACCGGATTACATTTTTAACAGGGGCACATCGTGCCCGAACAAGCTTCAGCGAAGGGAACACTGGCACAAACGATTGAACAGAAAACTGGGGCGGCCCGCCCGCCCTCTTATGCAGAGTCTGACACGAGGGCACGGCAACACACGAACTTGCCAAACATTCCTTGGTCATCCCAAACGTTTAGCACACAAATCACCGAATCTCAAGAAGGCAAGACACATGATTTGCAACATTTTGCAACTGGCACCGAACCGAAATAAAACGAGGAGCACGCGATCTCACGGCAAATGGGCCAGTTTCTTCCAAGGGGTCCCCCACTGATGCATGTCTGTATACACGGGCTCACTGGTGCTCCAAGAGGCCGCCTCTCGAAGACGCGGCAGCACCCTTGGCGTAGGCGGGCAGGGGGTTCCCAGCGCCGCTGAATAGCTGGCGCAGAAGCATTAGCTCAAGAACGCTGCAACATAAGGCGGCTAGAACATTGCCGATTCGCGTTTGGCAAGCCCATCAAGAACAGGTCGCTTCGAAAACGAAAGGGGGGAACAGGCCCAGGTAGACTCGGAAGCCGAATCAGACGTGCATCCCGAGCCCTCGCCCAAGTCTGGCACGGCGCCCCGACGAAGACGCCCCGCGCCAGCCCAGACAAGACCCCCCCCCCCTCGCCAGCTGCTGGGCCTGCCTGTTCGAGAGGTCCTGTTGCGGGCCCGGCGAAGGCCCCACTCGAGCACGACGAAGCCTCGCCCCGCCCTGAACAAGTCTAGAAACACCTGCGGTTTCACGCGCCGGGCGCCCCGACTGGCCAGAGCGCGAGCGACGCTCTCGCGAGGGAGGTAGGCAGCGCGGTCGCCGCCTCGATCGCCTTCTTCGCGCGCGCGGCCCGCGCGAGCCACTGCAGCTGCTCGCCTGCCCAGCCCTCTCTTGCTGACGGCGCCTGCCGCTGGAATCGCAGAGCCGCCGACCTCGCAGCTTGATCCCCTGCAGCGTCCTCCACTGCAGCGCCTGGCCGCGGCTCGGCCCACCGCGCCTGGGCGCGTCGTAGCTCGGGCCCCAGGACGCCGACCTCCGCTCGCTCGGCCGCCCCCCCTGAACTCCAGCGCCAGGCCGGCGCGGCGGAAACCGAGCAGGCCCTCCCAAGCCAGCGTCTCTCGAGGTGCGCCAGCGCCGGCTCGGGGGGGCGGAAGAGCGGCAGGTCGACGACCGCTGTCTGGTCGAACTCCCTTGTCTTGCTGCTCCTCGGATGGGGCGGGGCGCGACCGCCCAGCTGCTCGCGCGAGTTCCCCGCGCTGGGGCCGCGACCATCTCGGGCGTCGCGCGCAGGAGCTCGCTGGGCCGCAGGTAGCATTGGAACGCGAAGTGGCAAGCGATGATCGCCCAGGTCGCCATCGCCCAGATGCCCGCCTGGAGCAGCTCGAAACCGATCAGCGCCACGACCACCCGCGGCAGCGGCAGCCTCGCCCGTTCGGGAGCGGGCCACCCCCATCCCTTCAGCGCCTGCGCCGCCAAACGGGCGGGGAATAGCCGCTGGTCCTCGAACTGCAGCCCGAGGTACTTCGCCGCCGCTTGCCCCTTCGCCCCGCGCTGGGCCAGCTCGCCGAACAAGTGCTCCTGGCCCATCCGGCCGGCCAGCGAGCGGCCCAACTCGTCGCTCGGCCCCGCGAGCAGGCAGTCGGCAGGGCACAGACCAAGCCGCGTGCCGAGGACGTCCTGCCTCGGCGCGCCGCGCTGCGCCACAGGTCCGCGGCGTCGACGACGCGCGCTGCAGCATGGAGGCCGACGCCCCCGCTGCAGCCCAGCGCGCAGCCGCGCCGGACAGCCCGCGCCAGCTTGCTGCTTCGGGCGGCGGACCGGGGCGGCGACCGCAGCAGCCGCCGCGCCTCCGCCGCGGCCTCCTTCACTTGGCGAGCCCGCCGCGGCTCGCGACTGGCGGCCACTGGCGCGCCGCGCTGCAGGCCTCGCAAGACGACGGGCGCCTCGGAGGGCGCCGGCGGCAGGCTCCTGCACGGCATGCTCGGCGAGCGATCGCGGCCAGCCCCGCGGTCGGCCATTGGGCGACGCGGAGGCCCACTGCTCGAGCCCCTCGGCAGCGCCCGATTCGGGCCCGTCGAGCCAGGCCCCAGCAGGGAGAAAGAGGCGCGACTGCGAATCGGCAACGTTCCGCTCGGACGGGAACCAGCGCACTGACGCCTACGCGGCGCCTGCCACGCGCCGGGCCGCCCATCGCTGAGCCGCGCGGAGGGCGCCCACCCGGCCGAGGAGCGCCCCTCCTCCATCACACAAACGAGCTCCATATAGTCACAGGAAAAAAATGGCTCGCCGAAGGGCCTCGAATCATGATGCGCGCGGCGCAGAGAATGAGCGAACGCTCGACCCTCGAGAACAATGATTTTCCCCGGTCGGGCCCGACCCCCACTCGACGCGACCTGCCGCCCCCCCCCGCGCAGCGCGTCCTGCACCTCCCGTGGGATCCCTGGGGGACTTCGGACTGAGCATCGCGACCGCCGAGAATTACCATTTAGTGGCACTTAGTAGCCGCTAGCGGCCTGTGGCGACCGTTTAGCGGCACTTAGCGGCACGTGGTGACCTTTAGCGGCCCCGGAAATTACCATTTAGTGGCACCTAGCGGCTATTGGCTCCGAAAAGTACCATTTAGCGGCACTTCGCGGTGGCTAGTGGTTCCCCGAGAATTTAATGGTGGCCGTTAGCGGTTCCGAAAATTACCTTTCAGTGGCACTTGGTGGCCGCTAGTGGTTCCGAGAATTGCCATTGCGGCGCTTAATGGCCGCGCGGCCCCATCTGGGCCACGGGCGTGCAAATCAGGGTTCGGGGTCGCCGACCTCCGTGAAGCCACGGGCGCGCGAGTTAGACCGCCGGCCCCATCGGGGCCGCAAGCGATCGCGCATCCCCAAATTGACCACATAATGCATCTATGGGGCCGTCCACCTCGCCTCCCCGATAGCCTCCTGCTCCCTCGTCGGCGACTCGGCGATCTCGGATGCCGACTCCGGCTTCGCGGCGTCGTCGGGGTCACCCGCGGTGGCCACCGCAGTCGATCGGGTCGACGAGGCAGTCGCGAGGTCGCGATCCATCAACTCGTCGGGGTCGCGCCACCTCTCTGCGCCTTCCGGGGCGCAAGTAGCGGCGATGACGAGCTCCTTCTGACGCGCCCCCCCCCCGCCCCCCCCTCCTGCACCGCTCGCGTAGATCCTGGGGGGCCAGGACGCCCCGAAATCGGCCCGCGCCGCGGGGGCGGGGGAGACGGCCCATCGGAATTCTCGGCGAACAGACGCGAACAGACGGCGGAAGCCTCGTCACGCGACCAACGCACTTGCGAGAGAACGCGCGCGCAGCACCGAACGCGGCCAGCAGCGGCAGACGCGACAAAGCAATGAAGGCTCAGTGACCAGCGATTCCCCCCACTTGCCGCCCCGAATCACGCCCGCGAGCCCGTGCCCCCTGCACTCCCGCGCGGAGCCTCCAGGCGCGACGACTCTTCGGCCCGAGCACCCCGCGCCCACGTGGACCTCCTCGGCCGACTTCAGGGGGGCCGCGGGCCTCTTTGGATCGACCCCAGAACACTGAGGTTGCCAGCGCAATCCATGCCCCCGTCGCGACCGTCCGGCGCGGGCACTCCGTCGACCGCATCTGGGAAGGGGCCCCAGGACACACAAATAAATACAAACAAATAAAAATATGCTCCATATTTTCCTATATTTGTTGGGTTTTTGTCTTCCCCCCACTTCCCATATTTTCCTATATTTTCTGTGGAATCGACGATTAATTGTGTCTGTGTGTTTTTTTGTTCCCCTCCTGAGCGTAATCAATGCCCCCGTCGCGACCGTCCCGCGCGGGCATCCGTCGACCGCATCGGGCGCGCCCCCGAGAGCGCACCTCTCGATCAAGAGAGAGCTCTCTGCGCTGTCTCTCGCGCAGGTCGGGGGCGAGCGCCGGCCCCGCCGGCGGAAGGCGAGGCGCGGGCGCGCCCGCGCGCGCCCAGCTATTGGAGGCCTGGAAATAGGCACCAACACCAAGACAGGGGGCTGCCTCTACAGGGGAGAGATGATCCTAGATTTCGGCGTTGGTGGTAATACTTCGGCCACCTTGAAGCCAGAATATTACCACCATCACTGAGATCGGGATCTTTTTTCCTCGGTGGAGGAGCGCCGCCAATATTGGTGTTGGTGTCAACCTCTAGGCCTGAGAAGCTAAGCGGTTCGCAGACGAGGTAAAACAATTATTCACTGCGTGGAGCTCCCCATATGTGCATCTATTCGCATCGACCTGTCCGCCGTGAATGCCCAGGCGCAAGGGCTTTCGAATATAAGCGGGCTTCAGTTGTGAAGGTCTGGTCATGAGTCTAGCTGAGAATGAATTGGGGTGTGAATGAGACTCAGTAGTACGAGCGCGTCTCTGCGTATGAGCCTGGGGCCTCCTGAAACCTACTGGGGCTTCCTGGGGCCTCCAGGAGCCTCTTGGGGCCTCCTGGGATCCTAGGAAGGATTCGTGCCCCAGGAGAGGCCCAATATGTAACAACAGACGTACATAAAGCATTGCGGATTGGAACCACGGGAGAAGGGGGCAATCTATAGGAACACACGTAAAACATCAAGGATTCGTGCCCAAGGAGAGGCCCTATAGGAATATAAGTACACAGGAGAAGGACAATCTATAGAAACATACGTATACCATCAAGGATTCGT